TTGTGGATGTTACCTCATAAGCCGCATCATTTTCAACTAATGAAGAACACGGATTTTATCCCACGTGTTGATATTACATTGCAGTTTTCGGCAAAACTGGAAATCGATGACCAATGGCCTGCTAATACCTTATGAACTAATGAAGCGCACTTCACCATTTCTGAAAGTTTGAACACGCGCAACTGCTTTATTTGTTCATTAACTAATCCACATGTAACATTTTCTCCACACTTATATGATGCTAAGATGACAATGTGGTGTGATTTACCAGCAAACGTTGTTATAGGACTCCACATTTTTAAAGGACCATCAGCACATGGACTGCAAATATGCACAGTCAATGCTCACGGAACCATGCAATCCTCACAATTTATGTGATTTCCAATGATGTAGCAACGAAATGTGATGAACACTATGGTTTTCATGCAGGGTGCCTGCCGTATATTGTTAACCGCGTCTTGTGGGAGCACTTTTAGGACAGAATCATGCCATGATTTTTCCTTGTGAATGACCACCTCATTCACTGGACGTAACATCACCTAATTTCTGATTATGAGGGTATTTAACGCCACGTCTTTACCGTGGGAAGCTTCGCACAGTTCCAGATCTCAAGTGTGCAGTTGTCAGAAAAGCTGCTAGCGTACCAGATAAAATGCTCAAAGTTGTAATGTTCCATCGTCACACAAATGGAATTTATTCTTGATGCTGTAGGAGCACAATTCGAACAGTTGTTGTGATTATTCAGACATTAGGCCATAGTGGCGGTCCTGGTGATAACATAAAAACTATGGCATCTGCATTCACGAAATATCTTCACCATCCTGGTAAAATTTCACTTTCCTATACCGTGCCGTTTGTAAATATTACGCTCTGAGCTACAAAATATTATTTGTAATCACCCTGTATAAAGGAAAAAAGAACAACAAGAATCGATGACTGAGTGGATAAAGATAGAAAATAAGATAGAATCGAATCATGTGCCAGATATAGCGGAAATTAAAAAATGACTGGATGGAGAAGGGGAAATTATATATAACCTGGAATTCGAGAGAGGATAAAAAGCGAGAACTTTGGATAGAAGTGAAAGGGCTGTGGACTGAATTAGAGACAGAGAGAGAAGGTCAGGAGAAAATGAGATTTCAAAAATGGCGGTAGACAGAGTAGGGATGGAGGTTCAAGGAAAAAGTGAGAAAGGATAGTTTGGTCAAAAATATAAAGAGAAGACAGAAAGTAATTGAAAAATGTCAAAAGACCAGGAAGCAGAAAGAAAGAGAAGAATACGTTACAAGAAGAAAGGAGTTGCATTTATGGTATCAAATACAGAAAAAAGAAAAGATGATACGGGAAAAGGTAGAGAATAGTAAGTCAACTAAGGTGTTTTGGGAAGTGTCGAATATATTCAGAGGAAAGAAGGTAGAAAAACAGTGAATGTGTAAGAACGGAGATAACATTTTAAGGATATTCTAGAGAAGAGAGAATAACACGGCAAGTGACAAAAAGAGAAATTATCGATAAAAAAATTAGATGGTTGGTGAAGAGAAGAGAAATTTGAAGAGCAAGTAAAACGTTTAAACAAAGGAAGGAAGGAACAAGATGGTGAGCAGAATGAGCATTATAGTAATTTAACACAAAAACTATTCCAATTAGTGAATACTATTAATAAGATCTGGGAGACAAAATAATTTGTTAAAAAAATGGAGGGAGATTGCAATTTTCCAATTTAAAATTAATAAATGGCGCAGATGTGAGGAATTACAAAGGGGTGTCATTGTTAAATTTAACATATAAATTAATGAATGGAATGATGGCAAGAAGAAAAGAGAGTGGTTAGACGAAACGGAAATTATAAGAGTGTCAAACAGGATTTAGGAAAGGATGTACCACCGGAAATAATATATTCGCTTTTAGCACTTTAATAGAAATTAAGTTACAAGAAGAAAAAAAAATTAAAATTATATTTCTTTATACTCTTGATAGATGAGAAGGTTATCTGATAACATGAAAAAATAGAGATAATTGGAAGAATATCAGATATGGTAAAAATATATATAAACATATATATATACATGGAGAAACGCTAAACAAAGTAAAAAAAAATGCCCCCCAGTGGCACAGCGGTATGTCTGCGGACTTACAACGCTAGAAACCGGGTTTCGATACACGTGGTGGGCAGATCACACATAGCCTATTGAGTAGCTTTGTGCATAAATTCAAAAAAAAAAAAGAAAGATCAGAAAAAGGTTTGGACAGAGAAAGTAGTTAGACTTGAATGTTCGTTAAGTTCTACACTATATTAGTTATACATAAATGATTTAGAAAAGATGTAGGAAGAAAAGGTAGTGTCGAAAAACCAAAATTTCTGTTTAATATATGCGAGTGATACCGTATTGTTTGAATGTGGTTGTAAAACGTACAGGAAATACTAAGAAACATATATGGGATTTGAGATTAAGAGAACGTTTGAAAACAGTGAAAATACTGAAGCTTGTCAAACGATTACTGAAGGAAAACAAGCTAGAAAGACTGATAAGACGTTTAAAGAGAAAATAATAAAGAAAACTGAACAAAGTTTTCAAGATAATTGGAGAAGGATTACAAATTTTGCAGTTTGCTATAAACATATAAAAGAATGGGTAGAAATGGAAGATTTGTTTGAATTTCACCCAAAGATACACGACAGTTATCTGCGCTAGCCGTCCCTAATTTAGCAGTGTAAGACTAGAGTGAATGCACCCGCCGCCAACTCTTGGGCTATTCTTTCACCAACGAATAGTGGAATTGACCGTCACATTATAACGCCCCTACGGCTGAAAGGGCG